CCTCACACATAATATCTAATGTACGATACGGCTTTATCTTGAACTTTATTTCTTCTTATAAAAAGTGATTTTTCTTATCTGGAAATAATTTGTAATGCCTCACAGCACTGCACTTCCTCTTGCTTCAGGAAAGCATTTCTTTTTTTTTCCTTCTGAACTTCCCTCATGTTTCTTTTTTAAATTTTTTTTATCCTCTGTATTTGTGTTGGCTTTTAGCCTTCCGTTCTCTTCAATGCACTTGGCCTGGTACCAAATGAGACTCAGCACTTGGCCTAGAAGTATCATTTTCCAACTCTCAGAATCAGAAGGAAAACCCCGCCTCTCACACCCACTCTAATTACAATACTACAAAAGTGACTTGTTGCATCACTTGCCCATCACTTGTGAATTTCTGCTTTTTGCAGCTGCCATTCCTGCAGCGGATGAGTTTGAGACACATGGAGAACCTGCCTTTGCACCACCCAAGCCCTCCGGGGGCACAGAGACTTTCCTGGAAGCGCTGGCTTCTCTACTCACTCATAGCTTTTTTGCTATTCCTTTACTTCAGTGCCCTTCTGTTTACTCTTCTCTCTTCCAAGGTAAGGAGACAATAGTACCTAAGGTTGCTATGTAGTATAATCCTTTTGTCTTTTGTAAGTCTAGTTATTGTCATTGTCACCCAGGATTGTTAGAGCTAGTCAGAAGGAGAGACATGTGAGTACAGGTAACGTAATTCTAATTTCGATTTTTGTCATGGCCTATGGCTTTGGAGGCTTATGGAAGTGTTTTGAAATGAAAGGCATTGGAAAATGGTTAAGTGTTTGCTGCAGAAGATGGAGAGAATCACTTATTCAAATCAGCCACTTGATGGATTGCCTGGAGAGTCTTTTTCTCTTTCTGGAACTTTGCTAAATAAACTCCCTTGACAGAATAAAAGGTGTGAAACATGATGCTTGCTCTCCAGGAATGGGATGCGAGCTATAGTCTTATTGAGGGAAAAGACAAAAAGGCAATGAAAGAGAGAATGAGATAAGAGACAGGTGGTTAGTGTATCTCTGTGGAGGGAACCAGCGCAGAAGTAGGAGTAAGAAGATCCAGATTCTGGTTCAAGGTCTCCCAATAACTAGCTGTTCTGAATTTGAGAAAGACATTTTACCTTTCTGGTTCTTTGTTTCTTCATCTGAAACACTGTGGTAGGAAAATGAATCAATGTCCTTTTTAGCTATAAAGTAGAGTGATTAATAATTAATCTAAGGGTACAATGGAACATAAATGCTTTAGGAATTCAAAGGGTGGGGGGCAATGATGTTGGGCTGGGCTGATCAAGGGGGGCTTCACGGAGGAAGGATAAAGCACATTCCTATTTGGGAAGCCCCTGATGCTTATCGGGAATTTCCCATCAAGCTCCAGTCCAAGCTGTGGGTCTAGTGAAGGGAATGGAGATACCCTGGGTTCTTATTAGAAGCTTTTCTAACTGTTGACTACATGGCATTGAGCACCAAAAAAAAAAAAAAAAAAAAAAGGAAAAAAGTTTGATGTAATTTAGGATTTAGCCCATTTCTGGATATGTTTGAAGATTCTGCGCCTTGGGGAGAATAAGATGGTACATGCCCATCTAAGAAAGGGCTACAAAACATTTTTTTAAAAGAGTATTGGCTCACGAAGATTTCAAAGACACAGTTCTACTAAAGATGTTGAAAAGCGATTGAGAAAAGAATGCAGGAACAAGCCATACACTGTTGTTGTTGGCACTGAGTTGGGGCATGGGCAGCCCTGGCCAAGTTTCTGCACAGTAGCCCATCAGTCTGTACTCCTGAGTAGACACAAGGAGATGCGTAGTATGTATGGGAATAGGGGCGTTTCTCACCACATCTCCACTCTCTCAGGGAAGGTATCAAGCAGAAGACTGATCTTTCTAGAACAGGGAGGCTTTGAGCAGAAAGAAAAGAACTGTCAGGAGTTCTGAGTGTTTAGATTTCTGAAGAAAGGGAAGGGAGAGAATAGCAAGAGTGTAAATCTGGAAGCACCTTTTCCTTCTAAAAACCACCTCGTCTCCTTAGCCAGAAGACCCCAAAAGCGTAGGTGTTATCGTTGTCACCTGTTCCTGCACACGATGGGGAGTACAGAAGACGAGGGGAATGCCCTTCTCAAAGGCACACAGTGAAAGGACAGAGGAGGTCTAGGAATTGGGAGGGACAGAGGGACACTTCTCGCCAGAATTGAGCTGGATCGGTCCCATGTGTTTGAGCTCTGATTCTGGATCCTCTCTCCCAGGCAACATGCAGCTTCTCGATGAAAGGGTCTCTCTCTAAAGAAAGAGCCCAGCGTTTGTTGTTCCAAATTTGTGGACATTTAAGGTTTCCAGAGTATTGTTCTGACAGGATGCCATGGAGGTGTGTTTCCTATGAGAAAAGCACTAACGGCCTGGCCGACCGTGCAATGATGCTAGCTCACGTGTTCCACTCGCCACTTGGCTGCA